GGTGTCAGGGCCGCTCGGCGGCCGCTGCCTCTCCTCCGTTCTGTCTCTTTGTTTTCTTCGTTTTGTGGGCTCTGCACCTCAGCTGTGTTGCATTCCAGTAATTAGTAACTGGTTGTCAACGCACACAGCTGAGGTGCATCCCGGTGATTACTTTCTTCCCTTATTTAAACCCCTGACCGACGCGCCGCCTTCGCCGGAACATTATCCAACACGAGCTAACATATCGTACATGCCAACAGTAGCCACTGCTATCACACGTATCGAGCTCTGTTAGCTACTGATATCAGACATAGCTCAACATAGCGCCGCTTTATGTGAGTAACTATGGAATGCTACGCTGACAGTTACTGTTGCGTTTTGGCTTGACTCCGATTACTCGACATAGGCGTTACACTTCACACACCCTCAGTTTTTGATTCGTCTCTGTGGCTTGGCTTTTGGACTATGCTTACTCTGTTTGTCTACCGTGAGTTTGTGTGAGCACCTGTTCGTCCTGGTCCCCTTTGTTATCACTGCCCCTCCTTTGTTATCACTGCCCTTCCTTTGTTATAAGTATTACGGACCCTGTTGTTGTTGTTGTTACGTTTGGCTTTGTCTTGCTTTTTCCCCCATTAAACCTTTGTTTTGTACTAGCACCTGGGTCAGCTATCTTGTGTCCTACCCCTAGTTCTCCCTCACCCTCCTGGCGAGGGGGGCTAACCCTAACAAAAGTTACAAAAACTGGGAGGTGCACAACAAGCTGAAACACCACCAATGCGCACTGCATGCCAGCAGTTGTGACGCCATATTTGGCTCATGGGCGACTGTTGCTAACTTTGGCTGATGCTGGTCAGTATCAATGTAGTAAATAATTACAAATACAATTTGACACGGTAGTACTATTTTTAATTATTTATTTATTTTTACCATGATTTACTGTGAAACCAGTAACAGTTTCAACCATACTCACTAATAACATTTCAATAGGGTATCGCTATAATTTCCATATAATTCCTAAAATGACAAAGAAACTAAATTGTTTCTACTCAATATCAGACAGTTTCAACATAATAATGGCAAAATCTTGTGGGTACTTACAGAGCGGTTTGAGTGTTGGAGGCCTCCACACAGGCCCTGCTAGCAGGGTCCCAACCACAGAAAGGGTCTCGGGCCAGAACACACTGAGCACAGGTCCAGTAAAAGGAGCAGTTGGCTGTTGGAACCCTCACAACGGCCTCTGACGTACCAACATATATCACACTCTGTAATGGCACAGAATGAGAGCAAACAAACAGCATTCTATGATGACTTTTACATGAACCTCTTTGAACATCAATGTTATACTGTACATTTTGATGTAAGCGAAACCAGTGAAGGGATTCAGTTGGATGACACTCTTGAGTTTCCATTACTGTCAAGCTCCTCAGAGAATAAGTATTAACAACACTGAGTGTTTCCAGTGAGACAATTCTAGACAGCCAAAACATGTATTGAGAATATCAGCATGACTTGGACCAGACAGTGTCAGTATATAACCAGGTTTTATTTTTTCTCAGGCCTGAATTGTCAGGGTTGCTCGACACGACCTGCCTCTCTCCCCTTCTCTCTCTCTCTTTCTTGTTCTCTGGTGCAGGTCCTGGCTCCTGTGGTGCCACACAGCTGAGGCAGGTTTCCCATCACTGACGCTGGTACTTAAGGCGCTGGCGCACAATCACTCCTCGTCAGTATGTTGAGGAATTTCTTTCTGGCTCTCTCCATTCTGCCTCTGCCTGAGTGACCTGCTGCCAGTCATCTCTCCACCATCTCCACTCTACCCCACCTGAGTTCACCAGCTACACTCACCTGTTCTCAGCATGTCTTCGCTTCCTCCATCTGCCTGCATTGCCGCGTCCAGCTCCCCATCTGCGGCCCCCTCGAGTTCTGCCTCCTCTGGCGGACATTACCAAGCATATTGACTTATCTCCATTACTTTTTTTCTCTGTGCAATAAATTCTGTTGATCAGTATTGCACCTGCCATCTGGGTCCAGCCTGTTCCTCTCTCATGTCCCTGTGAGAGCCGCCGTAACATGAATGACATGGTGCACAGCATTGGTGAAATCAACTATTAGACTCGCTGCATGAAGGGGTACAAAGATGGTGTGAAACAGGTCTGTTTCATTTTCACCACTTTTATCTGCATGTGGTTCTGGACATACCAAAGATGTTGACGAGGATGAATCACACTTTTTGAGTAACACTTATTTAAAGACCCATGAACCAATCATGTGCCAGACTGTGGCTGCGCCTTGACAGCTTCAACGTTCTGTAGTTGCATGAGGACTCCTCCTGCCTCTTCTGTTAGGTATTTTTAGTCAGATAGATATTGGTTAGATACTTGATGTATTAGAAATGTTTAGAGTAGACAGGATGTCTAGCTCAGGCTGTTAAATGCTTAGTTATTCTCATGAGTTATTGCAGGCTGCTTATGGTCAAGGATAACTAGATAGAAAGTTGATGACTGTTAGAAGACAGGATGTTTAATATTATTATTATGACGTGTATAACTGTAGCCATAGCCATAATATTTTCTTATGTTTAATGTCATAACATGTCACTAGAGGTCGTGTTAGAATGTTTTAGCTACACACCACATAATCAACAGACAATCACACATTGATTTTTCTTCATGCTTTGACTACTGCTCTGGCCAGCTGCAAAGCTGGCACCGGGAGATGCCACGGTTTGGCGTCTCTCTGTGTAGAATGGGGTTAGCCCGAAGTGATATAATGTATAGGCCTGTTGTGGTTCGGGGTCTTTCATCTTTCAGCTGCCTGCGTGCATGTTAGAGGTGCAAGATACCTGAGCGTGTAATGTTAAGTTTTACCTGTGTTCATTGAATAAATCAGCACTGTTTTGAAGTTACTTGGACTGCTTCGTCTCTCAGAGTTAGCGTGGTTAAAAGTACCGGGTCCAACATCTCTATGACTCAACTGCCACCAGTTCCAGCTTCTTGCCACTTCCTCCTGCATTTTTTCAGTTCCACATCACACACTGGCCTCAAGCAGTCAAAATGGGTACTGTGCTCCAAGCATTGATGAGCTGATCACTAACTACTGCTGGGGGCTTCACTGGCCGGCTGCTTGTAGGTGAGACCGGTCAGGTAAAACAATTCTCCACATCCTCTGGTCACAGTGCAGCAGCAGGAGGGAAAATACAGTGCCTTGCGAAAGTATTCGGCCCCTTTGAACTTTGCGACCTTTTGCCACATTTCAGGCTTCAAACATAAAGATATAAAACTGTAATTTTTTGTGAAGAATCAACAACAAGTGGGACACAATCATGAAGTGGAACGAAATTTATTGGATATTTCAAACTTTTTTAACAAATAAAAAACTGAAAAATTGGGCGTGCAAAATTATTCAGCCCCTTTACTTTCAGTGCAGCAAACTCTCTCCAGAAGTTCAGTGAGGATCTCTGAATGATCCAATGTTGACCTAAATGACTAATGATGATAAATAGAATCCACCTGTGTGTAATCAAGTCTCCGTATAAATGCACCTGCACTGTGATAGTCTCAGAGGTCTGTTTAAAGCGCAGAGAGCATCATGAAGAACAAGGAACACACCAGGCAGGTCCGAGATACTGTTGTGGAGAAGTTTAAAGCCGGATTTGGATACAAAAAGATTTCCCAAGCTTTAAACATCCCAAGGAGCACTGTGCAAGCGATAATATTGAAATGGAAGGAGTATCAGACCACTGCAAATCTACCAAGACCTGGCCGTCCCTCTAAACTTTCAGCTCATACAAGGAGAAGACTGATCAGAGATGCAGCCAAGAGGCCCATGATCACTCTGGATGAACTGCAGAGATCTACAGCTGAGGTGGGAGACTCTGTCCATAGGACAACAATCAGTCGTATACTGCACAAATCTGGCCTTTATGGAAGAGTGGCAAGAAGAAAGCCATTTCTTAAAGATATCCATAAAAAGTGTCGTTTAAAGTTTGCCACAAGCCACCTGGGAGACACACCAAACATGTGGAAGAAGGTGCTCTGGTCAGATGAAACCAAAATCGAACTTTTTGGCAACAATGCAAAATGTTATGTTTGGCGTAAAAGCAACACAGCTCATCACCCTGAACACACCATCCCCACTGTCAAACATGGTGGTGGCAGCATCCTGGTTTGGGCCTGCTTTTCTTCAGCAGGGGCAGGGAAGATGGTTAAAATTGATGGGAAGATGGATGGAGCCAAATACAGGACCATTCTGGAAGGAAACCTGATGGAGTCTGCAACAGACCTGAGACTGGGACGGAGATTTGTCTTCCAACAAGACAATGATCCAAAACATAAAGCCAAATCTACAATGGAATGGTTCACAAATAAACATATCCAGGTGTTAGAATGGCCAAGTCAAAGTCCAGACCTGAATCCAATCGAGAATCTGTGGAAAGAACTGAAAACTGCTGTTCACAAACGCTCTCTATCCAACCTCACTGAGCTCGAGCTGTTTTGCAAGGAGGAATGGGCAAAAATTTCCGTCTCTCGATGTGCAAAACTGATAGAGACATACCCCAAGTGACTTACAGCTGTAATCGCAGCAAAAGGTGGCGCTACAAAGTATTAACTTAAGGGGGCTGAATAATTTTGCACGCCCAATTTTTCAGTTTTTTATTTGTTAAAAAAGTTTGACATATCCAATAAATTTCGTTCCACTTCATGATTGTGTCCCACTTGTTGTTGATTCTTCACAAAAAATTACAGTTTTATATCTTTATGTTTGAAGCCTGAAATGTGGCAAAAGGTTGCAAAGTTCAAGGGGGCCGAATACTTTCGCAAGGCACTGTATATCCACAAAACTGGACACACCCGAAATATTGCACTTTTACAATAGCACAATATTTTTTTTTAAATAAGCTTTATTGAGTATGGTGGGGGCACCGGTGGATATCAGGCAAGCTCACCTGAATGTGCTACTGGATTTTATGCCCATTCAAGGAAATCCTTAATCAAGTAATATCTTTTATTTTGGTAGAAAAAAAGTCTCGCGAGTGAAAGTTTGCAAAACGTGTATAAACGTGAGCCAACCGAGTTACTTCTGCATAGAAATACTAGAACATAATGTCATGTCTAAGATGAGATTTCACTGTTAACATTGTGGATAAGTCAGAAAACAAGGAAAAGCACCATGGGCTGTTTAAGCACTGGACTGAAAGTATCTACCTGAAATCTTTGATTTGAAGGAGTAAATGTACCTTGGATATGGAGAGCTTCAAGCTCTTTACAAGCTGTGGCTGCTCAAAAACTTGGACCTCCTCAATGATGTGGGCCCCACTCTGCAGGAGCACTGCTTTGTGCAGGTACCCAGACTCTGAAATGAAGTTCGTGAAAAGACACAGTTCATGTTGATACAGTACATTGGACAGACAATACTGTACAACCACTGCCCGCATAAAGATGGACAATGTGACAGTTCCCAGAAATGAATCATTCCCTGGTGGCTAGTTGCAGCAAGGTCATAAATGCTGCCCCCTCCCTGTTAGTGACTGGGACATAAGCTAAACTAAAAATTTAAAAGTACAAATCAAATCAAAGGTGATTTGTGTACAAGTAGGATTTTTCTGGTAAATGTGTTCTTTTGTATTTTTATTGGAATATATTGTGTAAACAGGAAATACATAACCCCCACAGCAACTGTTGCCCCATTTCCTCCTAGGCCTTCCCAGACGCCAGTTAGACAAACACTACACAAAACGATAAATAAGAAATATAAAACAGCACAACTTCACTTTTGAGGTCCAGCACACAGTACCTATAAGAAGTTTAAGAAGTTCACCCCCCTCGGAGGTTTTCACCATGTATTTTCACATATGATTGTTACATGAACTGATGGCAGAATCTTTAATAGCCAAATGGGACATGAGTTTTATTATTTCCTCCTTTGTGCCTTAAGATGCCCTGAAAGCTTTTTCATTTAAGCACTGGAGAACCTGATTAAGATGTGTTAAGAAGATGTAAACCAAGTATTGTGAGCCAATCAGCACAACTGTGGCCTTCTGTGTAACTTCTTGTTCTGTTCATACTGTGTCATAGACGTCTGCCTGCCTCTGGGCCTACCTGTCAGCAGAAACAGCACAGTGTAGTCTCTGTTGTTGGCAGCCTGGACTCTCTGGACAGTCAGGTGGCTGTAGCTGTGCTCAGCAGACACCATGATTGGAATTCTGCCAACCGGCCGCACACTGTCGTCTGCCAGGAAGTTTTCTTTGACAAAGCGCAGGGCATTGTCTGATGCATTATGCAGACCACACTACCACAGAGAAAGGCAGTTTGAGGGTGGTGTAACTCAAACACACTGTGATCACAATTTAACTGTTACAAATGATGCCTAAATGTTAAAACAAATAAAATCCCTTTTATTAAATGTTTTGAATTCGGCAGTGATATTTTCCTATGGATTTCCATAATGCTGGTAAAAGCTTAATTTCCATCACAACGCTGGGTGCCAGTGTTTATGTAACACATTTCTACAGACTTACTGGACTCATTTCAAAAAGTGGATTTTCTCACACTGATTAAAATCATGTTCATATTCTGTCCCCTTCACAAAACAGGACATCACAGGAGTTAGTCCAGTAGTGAGCGGCAAGAGCTGGCTGAGCATGTGCAGGCTGTTTCCAACATGTCTGACTGCTGGTGTTTCTTGACTTCTTTTTAGTGATGTCACTGTTCCAAAATGTCAACTCTGATATTGGTGTGAACAAGTGCAAAAAAGGATCTTAGACGGTTTTAATGGTTACACACACGCCATAAATTTCATTTTCAGAAGGCACAAAGGCCACTCGACTGGGCACTAAGGCCGAGACAAATGACATGTTAAGTAGTAAACTGAAAAAACGTAGAAAAAAAAAATCAACTGGATTTCTAGGTCGAAGACGTTTCACCTCTCATCCAGGAGGCTTCATCAGTTCTGACTGACTGGCGTTGAGCCGGAGATATTTATCCCCCTCGGTGGTGTTTCAGTCCTTTGAAGGCCAACAATGTCCCTTAATGACTGAGTTGTTGTAGCCCAGTATCGGTGAGAGTCGTTACCTGTCTTTGAATCCTCCCTTGTGGACCGACGCCTATTGTCCTGGTGGGCATGTTTGGGCAGAGATCTCAAAACAGGATTGTAGATGGAAGACAAGTTGTGTCTTAGTCCACCATACAGCCTGAGCAGTAAAGTTACAAACTAAAGTTTGGTGTTCACAACATACATGTTGTGTTTAAATTGAAGTGCAGATGCTTATAGAATGGATAAAGGGAACTATGCAGTGTAGTAAGTAAGCACCTTTATTATAATGTGGATAGTAAGTGGTGTTATCTGCATGGTTAGACTCCAAGGCAAACTACGCTCTTGTTGCTCTCTGCTGATGCTGCCTAGGATCATGGGTTGGAAGAATCATGGATGTATTAAGGAGAAAACAGAGGAAAGGATGTCTAATTTCTCTTAATTACACTAACTGGTGTGATGATTCTATTTTTCTGGCATCATGATGACAGAATGACCAGCATCACTTCTAGCACAGTTAAAACAAAATAAATGCATAATGGCTGCCTACTGAGGTTTGTACTTGGTTGTCAGTATTTACAGTGTTAGTGCTTATTTAGCATGTGCAATGTTTCAAATAGCAGAGAAAACATGGTACATGTCAACACTACGTGCAACGTTTTACAGCCTCTGAGTTTTCTTACAGTTTCTAGACAAAGCCAAATATCCCATCCTTCAATCAGCTTATCCGGTAAAACTAAAGGGAACCTTACTGTAGCAATGCTAGCCTGACTGATGTGGACTCTGGGCTAAAAACAGCACATACATGTAGTGAACTTAAGGCAACTTAAGGCACCAACATGTGACTGAACAAGAACGATCATTTACAGAAACTGCTCCTCAGTTCTGATAGGCTTGAGAAGGTCTGTCCATCACGTCTGATGAGGGCGCAGCTGCTACCATGATGGTGTAGTTCTGACTGACATGCAGGGCATCTCAGGCCAGATGCCAGGCAATGACGGCCACCCTGGTTATGCTACTGAAAAACTATCTGAAAAAGAACACTTGAAACAAGCTGTAATGTGAACTTGGCTTGTTGTTAGAGCTAATACATTGTGGTCAGAGTATTAACCATTCAACATTCCTGTTGTTAGGTATTTTTAGTCAGATAGATACTTTATGTATTAGAAATGTTTAGTGGAGATAGGATGTCTAGTTAGGCTGTTAAATGCTTAGTCATGCTTATGAGTTTCTACAGGGTACATCTGGTCAAGGATAATAGAGAGAAGAGTTGATGACTGTCAGCAGACAGGATGTTTAATATTATTATTATGACGTGTATAACTGTAGCCTTAGCCATAATATTTTCTTATATTTAATGTCACGACATGTTACTAGAGGTCGTGTGAGAATGTTTTTTTTTCTCAGAAATATTTTGATTAACTTTTTGAACAAAGAAACAGATACCAAAATGTGAACGACAGGCATCTAACATTGACAAGAGGTCTATTCCGTTCAGGAAGAGTAAACCTGTCTGGGTACAGTGAAAAGAGAAATGCAAACATTACCCGAAGAAAAGAACCTCCCCCTCCCAAAAAAAGAACCCACCCGAGGAGATATAAAATCCTCTCCCTAACTTGTGTGGGAGTTATGAAAGTGCTCCATAAAAGGTCCCCACACAATTAAAAACCTCTCTTTTGATTTGTGAGCTGAGTAGTATATTTTTTCCAAAGCTAAACAGGCCATGATATCTTGCAACCATTGGGTATGGGTGGGCGGAGCAGCATCTACCCACCTCAGCAATATTGCACGCCTGGCCAAAAGCGAGGCAAAAGACAGAATTCGGCGTTTTCCTGGGGACAGGCGCTCAACATTATCGCCTGTAGTGCCAAAAAGTGCAATCAGAGGGTTCAGAGGGTCGGGTTCTATGTCTGCTCCAACCATTAGGGATAGAGTTTGGAAGACTTCCCTCCAGTATTTCTCCAAACTGGGACATGACCAAAACATATGGACAAGAGTAGCCTCCTCTCTCCTGCACCTGTCGTGGTCTACGTCAGGGTAGTAGCGCGCCAGTCGAGATTTGGATATGTGAGACCTGTGCACAACTTCGAACTGCAACAGGCAATGATGGGCACAGAGAGAGGTTGTGTTAACCAGCATAATTATATCCCACGCGTTGGCTGACAAGGTAAGATTCAGATCCCGTTCCCATGCGCTTTTAACAGTATTAAGTGGGGCCTGCCTTATACCCAACAGCTTATCGTAGATAATGGAAACCAGACCCTTGCATAATGGTTGTAGATTGAGAAGAGCCTCAGCGGTGCTGATGTCTGGTATCTGGGGGAAATTTGGTATCTGACAGTGGAGGAAGTGTCTTACTTGTAAGTATCTGAAAAAGTGAGACCTAGGGAGACCGAACCTTTTAGACAGTTGCCCAAACGATGCAAAACTGGTGTCTATGAAGAGGTCTCTAAAACGCTCGATACCCAGTCCCCGCCATTCCTGGAACGTTGGATCCGATAAGGAGGGTTGAAAAAGATGATTGGCGGAGATGGGACTCGAGGGGCAAAACTCAAGAAAACCAAAGTGCCTTCTGAACTGAGCCCACACTTTCAACGTGTGACCGACCACTGGATTATCTGTGAATTTATATGGTGCGAAAGGGAGTGGGGAGCCGAGAAGTGCTGGAATGGAAGAATTTCTAGCCGAGCCTAATTCCATTGCCACCCACGGAGGACAGTCGGATCGACTATGAAAGTATGACCAAAAGGTGAGGCAGCGAATAGTGGCCGCCCAGTAGTATAGGCGAATGTTAGGTAGCGCCATACCCCCCTCAGCCTTGGACTTCTGAAGGTGAACTTTGCTGAGCCTGGGGTGCTTGCCCTTCCAAATATAAGACGATATAATAGAATCTAATGTATCAAAGTATAATTTGGGGATGAAGGTTGGTACTGATTGAAAGATATATAGGAATTTAGGAAGAATATTCATTTTGATAGAATAAATTCGCCCGATCAAGGAGGTAGAAAGGGGTGACCACTGAGCCAAGCTGCGTTTTGTGTGATCGAGCAAGGTGAGGAGGTTTTCCTTGAAAAGGTTCTTATGCCTCCTCGTAACTGTGATACCAAGGTATGTGAATTTATCCTCCACAGTCCTAAAAGGAAAATTGGAATAGTC